AGGCAAAGTTCTGAAAATTTTTCACAGCATGTGGAAGCTGAAAACAATGCGAAATAATTCACATAACATAAAGTGTGTAATAAAGATGGTCGTGTTAACATCGGAAGGCACTAATGAAATTTGCTAATAGGCTTTGATTAGTTTTATATTACATTATATTGTTGAACCTCAAATGGCACCACTGAAGTCACCAATGTGAGGGATGGGGTAGGGGGCCCTGTTAAATGCCTTAACATTCCCGCACGGTTCCCAATTGTCTGTCTTCCTAAGGACCATGTGCTATTGAGATGGTCAGTTCGCTCCTGCAGGGAATACCGGCCCAACTTTTACTGTACATGATTGATACCGGTCTTGGCCACTTGATAGAGGTCGGGAGCAAGACGGCGTTTGCGGGAGCACACAGGTAGACCGGTTGTCTTTATGCGATGTATGACGATGTACTTGACTGGGTGTTCAGTTACAGGTAGACGCTTTAGGGTGTAATATTTGCCAATAATGTTGCGCCAGTAAGACTCAGTCGTGATTTTTGAAACGAGTGGAGTGAGTGGTAGATCGTTTGATCGGAATTATTTTATCCATCCGTGTCGATAATCTTCTTGCACCGACGTTCACAATAACATTGATAAACCGAATTCGGTGCCAATAATAGGACGGGTGACTTTGGCGATTAAACTCACCCATAGGAAGTACGATGCTGGACAATATGCAGCGTGAGCGACCTCTCTCCGAAAGTTGTGGTCGGGGAACCATTTACCGCTTAAAGAAAGAAACAGGTTTGGTGACGGCGTCGATTGCATACTGTTAATGAAGGCATTACTCTTAATCTTAGAACGTGTATCGACCAGAAAATAATATTTGCCGTATTATCAGTGATAAAGAACAGACGGCTATCATCGGCGGTGTTGTTCAGAGGCTGCGGTAGCACGAATAAGTTCTTCCATAGAGTTATCATATCGGTCGCCAGGTGAGGCAGGAAGAATGTCGAGGACATCCGCGGCGGTAGTTTGTTGTAGTACACGCACCACGAAGTCGAACCGGCACTTCTGTGAGGACACTGAGGAGATCTGGTGGTCACGGAACCGAGCCCGACGTTCATGAACCACAGTTCCGCGTCGCCTTTCCCGAGTGAAGGTAGCTTAAAGGGACCTTGAGGAGGTTTCTGAGATGGCCTAAAAAGGGCGATAACTCACTGTGCGGGCTCCTTGTATCCCAGACATTCTTACTCTCTATCACGCGCGGCAATTTGTTCTATTGAAACAGCAATCATAGATCGCGACACACCGAAGTCATCTCAGGAGATGAAAAGAACATGTTGCAGTAGCCAGGATGACAAGTAACAAATGGAAATGCGACATTTCGTGGAAATTGCAAACGTTCTTATTAACACAATATGCATGCTTATGTGGATAAGAGCAAATATTAGCTTCATATAAATGTGATTTTCTCGTGGAGAGGGAAGGTAATGCCGCAAGAATCATTTAAAAAAAAACAGGGGACTATGTTTGCTTGTGTTCGTCATCCGCGGGAATGATGTGTTCGGTCGTCTGATGGTCCGTTCTCGAGCGCGGGCTCGCTGGGCTGAATCATCGATGTCAGGTTTGCGAGAGCCATGACGCGATGAAGCGTGACAGCAATGGTACACGATTGACTTTGTCTGCATGACAGAACTATCGACTAAAGAAACTGGCCGAAGTCCAAGCGTCCGGGTTGTCCGGGCAACGAACGTTCTTAGATGGACGCTGCGAGGTAGCAACAAGTCCTCCTGCCCCGCCTTCTTCCCCTAGCTCCTGTCATCTGCCGGCGCGCAGTCCGCCATGTTCTTCCTAACTCCGGGAGGGTCATGTCACGTGACAATTAATATGGAACAACGCTAGACGCTGGATAATTTTTCGAAAGTCAAAGTGCCAAATCGTTACTCGAGAGTGAGATCACGTCAAATCAGCCATGTCCCCCCTAACCAGAAACGGAACGCGGGCACGAACAAATGGGAGAACCAGCCGACACATCAATGGCTGTCACTATTTAGCAAAGCGTTAATCGAGGGACTTTACGAGCAACGAGTCGCGCACATTTGAGTTACAACTCCGCGGGTCCACCTGTAGGAGGCGCGAGGATCCTTCGCTTGCCTACAGTGGTCCTGGTTTCGGAACATGCTCCTCCCATACACTGAGGCGACCTCGGTGAGTTGAGATGTTTTATAGTTTTTTTTTAGACAAAACGTCTGCGTATCGTTATGATTTGAAGCTTTCTAGGATGCTTAAAGCCAGCACAGTCGGTTATCGTCATATTTAGGTGACCTCATAAACCTCCTCAGGGCTTCTCTGAAACATGGGGCTGGATTGCGTGTAGCTTTCAAGGGCAGAGGAGCTTGTGGAGGATATGAATGGTATTTGTGACTCCGATGAGAACATTTGTTCGCAGCAGAGTTCAGGGCATTCCAGAAGTCTAAGCCCTGGTCACCACAAGTAGCCCGGGAAGAAAGGTTGAATTTCGCATTCCTAAAAACCTCTAAGAATCTCGTGAGCCGCGAACTACCTTGGTGGATGTTTCCTCAAGAACGGTGGAAATCCCAGTGGTGATAGGGGAGACCCGTGGCCGAGTGATCTACCGCATGTAAGCTCGGAACACGTGGAGCGAAAGCTCGCGCTGCAAAAACCCACGGATTCTGGGCTGCCTGTGCTTAATCCTCACCGTTTCCCTTTTCGATCTGGATCAGCATCGTGTAGGGGAGCGGTCGTGTATCACTACTGCGTGATGCACGTTAAAAACCTCGGGCTAGGTGTTATACTACACTAGCTAAATTTCTTATTTACAGATCAGACGCGAGATACCAGACACCTATTCAGGCTGAATAACCTTCCGGCTCTATATACATACATACATTATAAACATTCAGTGGTGATCGCTCAAGTCTCGCGTCTCCTCGGGCCCGTGCAATGGTTCGTGCACCCAGGTTAGTCCCACTCATATCCTTTTAGATTGAGACACTTTGGCTGCCTTATGGAGATCTTGACAGCCCGCAACCACATCGTCGTAGTCTGACAACCGGTGAAATCAGCACTTCCGTCCGCCATTTTGGGGCTCTCACTCATAGGAACTTTATGCGATTTCTGAGGAATAAAAAAGACAAAGAAGTAACGCCATTTTGTGCTATCGCTATATCCGTTGGTTCTAATGGGCAATACGTTCCGCCAATTGGCCAAGTTTTCTCGGTATAAACTGCTCTGGTCCCACGAGCCGTTTACCGACCTCTGTCATGACCTTTTTTGGTTCTTTACGCCGCCACTGTCTGGTACTCTCTATCGTGGTTTTATTTTTGAGTGATGGTTTTCAGATAGCCATTGTCCTTGGCTTTCATGTGCCTGTGCTCAACCAATCGAACGATCTCTCAAGCACATGGATGTAAGCGGCACACTGAAGACATTCTAGCTCGAGAAAGTTCATTCTAACAAAGCGCAAGGTGCACGTGTTCTGAAAACCGACAAATGATGTTTGGAACACAATTACCTGCTGGAATTGAAGTTCAAATAAATTGAAAGACTGATATACAATACAATTATAATAGGACCATTTTTCATCATCACCGGCATCTATTTTGTACTGTGATAACACAATCTAATAAAAACTATATCTTAGCTACAGCAAATGCACTGCTGCTTGCCTTATTACTTAGCCAATCTTTTTAAGGTGGCTTATATTCAAGGATTATTACAGTTGTTGTACGCACTGCAACAATATTGTGAGTCCGCGAATTTATAATACGTGTTGTACGCAAATTTTGGGCGACATCCTCCCATTATTTTTACTAACGAAGGGTTTCCTTTCAAGAACTAGTCGTAGAGAACTCCAGAGTGATACCAGTTTGTTGATGCCGCTCGGCGGATTCGCCAGAGATGTTTGCGGAAAGTTCGCAGATAAATAAACGCATCTCTCTGAGTAATCACCATCATTTGCGTATTATCAAATGTTATTGGATTCACTAGGGTGCTGGTAACCAGACAGATCAACGATAGGAATAGATGAATGATTTCTCTTCCGCTGATGCTGTGATTTCAGTTCAGCTTCAAGATATTAACGTAGCGGCCGACCGAGGGGAGCTTCGCGTAAAAGATTAGATGTTTGGCTTACAATAAGTAACTTAAAAAGGAAAGGAGCGATGTTTCTGGCACTTTTTATTTTATTTATTGTCTACATTGAAGCTCTTTTTCATTAAGGAGCCACCAATATTTATGTCTCCAAGTGTCTTTAGCGCCCAATCATCATCTTGGTGTTTTTGGCACCATGCGCAGTAAGATGGTGTCACGCCAACGAATTAGCATTGCTTATGTACGTTTCGGGTCTGTCAGTTTGCATGCGGAAGGAAATGCAATCGATATACGAGATTCGTTTTATGTTCCTGATCATTACATTTTGGCTAAACTTTCAAACAGTTTGTTTTGAACTACGAAATGTGTTTACCTTATTCTTTTCATCAAGAGACAAAAGAGGAATACATAGGGTATAAATCTTTCTTCAGCATGGGTATTGAACAAGGCCCATACTGAATAACTGTGGGCACAGTACAGGTTCAGAGAACTGCAATCTTCAAAATACATTACTTCGAATCACATTTTGAAAGTCAGTTTTTCTCTAGTGAAGAAAAGTACCCATTTGACAATTAAGAGTAGTGCAAGTGAACGTTACACAGAAATATTATTACATTGAGACCAGTCGCTTTCATTCTCAGAGTGGGGCATATATATACAAACATATATAATTGAGTAATTTTCATATAATTTTTGCTCAATAAAGAACATTATTAAAACATTTCTAGTTCCATTTTTTTAAACATGTGCAACTTTCAGTCTACTGGTTGATTCTAATACTTTTATTATTTTAATATTCAAAAGAGGGGTCGTCTGGGTATCCCCTCACACCTGTAAAAATATTAATGTAATAGCGTAACTAGATGTGCATGTTTAACTGAAATAGGCTTGGGAGGGGAAATTCCCTGGGCTCACCTTCTTTGGCGATGCAGTTCTGTGATTTCCTAAACTGTCTAGAGTTTCTTTCATTTGAACCGGCGACGTATACGAGTCGAGTCCCGTTGCCAACACCACCATTTTTTCATGGGCAGCATCGTAACCTGAAAACACTAGAATTAAACCGAAATGTCAGTAAACATATCTACCGACATATAGCAAAGTAACTTCTAGATATCATGTACAATTTTATATTTAGAACAAATTTATTAAATAAAGGTACTATGTCGATGTACCTTCCGTCTAGAATTAAGTATGTTTTAAATACACAACTTGACTCGCGATATCTACCGCCTTTCTATTTTGAAAATATTAGTGTACAAGAGTAAGTTTTATTTTCCATTGAACATCGAATTTGATATTCTTGTTTTTCAAAACCCTTACTATCAGAGGCATTAGTTTCCTCATATTTTTATATTTATCCTAGAAGGCACATATGACAAAGCATCTACCGGATGTGCTAAAGTCTAATCGCACAAAAACTAAAACACAGAAAGTAGTTTTACAACACAAAAAAAAACTACTGAGCATGTATGTATTTATAATATATAAATCATAAATATGCTTTTAACGAAAACATTTTTAAGATCTATAAGCAGTAATTATCCTCCTTTCATTTATAATGTCGTGAAACAAATTACTTATATCGTAATATTTGTGCGATGTTCGGTGTTCCAACCTGCACCAGTCTTCAGAAAACAAGTAAAGAAGTGAAAAGCGTAAAAGAACGAAATTTCGCATTAGTTTTATGGGTAAAACCTTGTATAAAAATAATAAACATAACTCCAGTCTTCTTTATGAAAGATTTCCCATTGAGCAAGCAAAGAAAATGCTAGGGAATTTTTACCAAACTTTTAGGTGAGTGACGTTTGCTTAGTAGAGAAAAAAATTAACTCTATAGATTTCACATGTACGGGTGCGGCCGTCAGGACTACCAGAATTGACACACCTTGCGAAATTCAAATTCAAAACATACATTCCTGAAATAGGGCATGCGAGTGTAGTTTCTACACAAGGTTTAAAGTTAATTTTTAAAAGCTCAGTTCTAAGGTAAAAAAAAAAAAACGGAGGCTGTTTGTTTCCATTGCCCTATACAGCCTGTTCCTTTTCTGCATACTGGCTTATTAGTCCGCCTCCGGGGGGTTTGCTTAGCTCAAGAAAGCTATAAACCAATAGCAGAGGCTGGTGATGTTCAAGATAACCGCGATATATAGTACTTTCAACGTAAGATATGAGAAATGGCTATTGGGAGCAAGGTCACAAGCCAGTGTCAAGACGATAAACATCCGGTATAGGGCATAGGAAATGCAGGGCTGCCCTTTTTGCTCTATTTTCAATGTTTTACAACCTCTTACTTGAGTTCTGAATAAAATAAAATAAACTTCTTGCCAAACTACTTTCGTTTGCCCATTTTCAGGTATGTACGTTTGGAATTCGAAATTTGCAAGGCGTGTCAGATGTGTTAGTCCTTACCGCCGCACGTTGTAGAGCTTCTAACAGCCTCGCCATACTCTGGCAGTGAGAGGCTACGCTTTGTAGATATCTATCATCAGATATGGCTTTGACTTTTCTCCTTTTTAGGGACGTCACCACCGGCGCTATGCGTTTTGGGCTTCTCTTATTGATTTATGACTCTCTGAAGCAGTTCTTAGATCCATACCTGTATCAGAAACTCTTATGACAATATCATAAGAAAACACACACTGCAAAACACAAACTAGACGTTCCCATAATATTTCAGTTAAAAACAATGCCTATTCTCAGTGCTTTAACATTGCTACTAATATATATTTTTACCCCGCACCAGCTCGGTTGCAGAGTTCGTGTGTGTGCATTATAGCGTTCTTGCAAATAACATTAAAAAGCACATATTTGTTGCGTTCTACCGCATCTTAAAGTTTGCGCGATAAACTAAATATTGCATCCAAATGCCATGCACAAACACACACATTCAAACATAAAACAAATATACATATTTATTCCTGTAATGCGCACCGGAATTGTTCAAATGTTAGTTCTAATTATCTATATTGTTAATTCGCAGATATTCAAGGTTTACGCCGGTGAGAAGCATCTGTGTTCCTGCGGTCGTTTCAATTACATCGGCATTTCTGTCACCGGCACGCACACCAAGGACACGTACGCTGCCAAGAAAGTACCGTGGTGATTGAAGCGCCAACGCCACTCTACCAAGCGTCATTGTGGGCAGGGCTTCCAGCGCTCTTTCGCGCAAACATCTTTAAATGGGGCGGAGAAACGGGAACATTGACCGATTAATATCTAAAAAAAAAAGAAATTTGTCTCGTTTTAATAATATTTTATTCATCTTGATTGTAATAATATTTTCCGTCAATACTGCAATTGCGACATGACCCCCGAAACGAAAAAAATAAAACGTTGAATAACGAATTTTAGTCAATTATTCAAATTAGGATGACGATTATTTACTCATCTAAAGTCTGCCGATCCTGATGCATATATAATGAAGACGGCCCTCTTCAAACTATTAGCTCTTTTCTTCCTTAAATCTAACAGAAAAAAAACAGTGTTTGTGCAGGAGAGCTGATGGTAATTACTCATAATGTAAAACATGAGAGAACAGTCCGGGAATATAGAAATAACTTTAAAGTAGAACGAAAAGACAATAGTTGTAGACGCTCTCCTACTGTTGTCTTATTCTTCGACTTGAACGTTTATTGATTTTTCTACACCAATCTCACATTTTTCTGAATGATTAAAAGCACATTAAAATTTAAATCTAACATCCCGTGTAAGCGCACTCAAATGAATTACAGCCACCTACGCGACTAACATAGAGGCCATAACGAATGCGCTTACGTTCTTTGTTCAAGCATTTGTGTATTTTATACCTCCCTAATTTTAAATAAGCTAAATTCGATAAAAACTTTCAGCCTTTGCACTCTGGCGAAGAACAAAGCAAGCGGAGCTGTACAATGGAAACTAACGGCCGGGCGCAAGTCGGCAAGCCATTTTTTTTTATTTATGCGGCGCTTGCTCTTTGCAACGAGCGTGTTGACCTTTGCAACGAGCCTGAATGGAAAGGCTGCCGCCATCTAAGAGCGACGGCAGCAACTAGATACCTGGCTTTTCGCCGTCGCTCATAGATGGCGGTAGGTGTCTCGAGTTCGGTGTCTTCATTTCTTTGCGGGGGACAGGATTCTGGGGAAACTAACCCTTAACAGCTCCGCTGTAAAAGCACGTTTATTAGTCTTTTTGAATTTGCCGCGACGCTCCACCCAGTTATGGTGCATGAGGTGTTTTTAGAGGAGGCCAAAAACAAGAGAAGTTTCTTAGCGAAAGGGCCACCGCCATGCTGCCGCTGTATGTACTCCGAAACGGAGTACATAAAATATTACACACCGCACGACATTTGTGCATTCATTTGTGCCCGCACCCGCCCAAATACGACGCTCAACGCTCTTTTCTTGAGGCTATGACAACGTTGTACGGTGCGCTACACCATTCCTCAAACATTACACGTTTTTTTTATTTTCTTTTTGGTGCTGTTGTTTTTGTTTGCATTGTATTTTCCAATTGTATTGGTGAGCTACAACAACTACCACTTAAGCTTTTGCCTCAAATGTACACGTTCCACACTGATAGGAGATTGGGAAGCGACCTTTCGTATCCCATATAAAACAAAAAATTTATACAAGCTTCATCATGCTGACAAAAGCACGTCATGCGTTGAGCGTAAACCACACATTTTTTTCTGGGAGAACGAAGAGACTCTGGTGTGAATGAACAGATGAATACTGGGTGTTTTGATTTTAAATTGAACATATTCTGGTTAATAAAAGTGGGTGAGATTTGAACGAGTGCCGTCTCCATCATGTGCTTATCGGGCTCGGCGGTCATTAGATGAGGGGAAAACCGTCATGGTAGGATGGCTAATTAACTAAGCGTGGTTAACTAACTTTGTAAATAGTTGTTGTAGAAGTCATGTTGCAATCGCAGTATGAACGGCAATATTTATTAGAGGCCTGAGCAATTAAAATAAGTTTCTGAAAATATGGTTGCATTTTTTTAGATCTCAACTTTCACAATTTTAAACGGCTATTAAAATTGCGCGCAAAAACAGCGCCGCAAGGCCTTCCACAATATCGCTTAGCAGTGCGATGCAGTCGTTTCAGTCACGTCGCCACTTGTTGTCCCCAGCACACCAGTCAAGAACACGCTGGCGAGATGGTGATGATATGAATCAAAACTTCTACGTCACTCTTCCAAGCTTCATTGGGTGCAGGCCACACAGCGCTCTGTTAGCACGCATTTTTTAATTCGACCTAAAAATCATTAGAAGTTCCAGACTACTACTAAAAAAATTATTTTCCCCAAGCTTTAAGTTGGACTGGCCTGTGATAGCAATTGCCATTAACACTGCAATTGCGACATGACTCCTAAAACTAATATTTGGAACATTAATGAACAAATTTTAGTAAATTAGCCAACTTAACATGGCGTTTATTGCCTCGGCTAGTGTCCGCCGATCCTGATAACTGCATGGTGAAAATGGCACTCTTCTAACTCTCCCCTCTTTTTTCTTTAAGAATATGTTCGAAATAAGATAAACGCCATGTTAAGTTGGGTTGGTTTACGTGTGGTTTACGTGTGGTTTACGCTGTATTCGTTGTCACTGAATCATTAGACCTAGAGTCACGCAAGGTCAGTTTCACAAAACACCAACAGGAAAAATTATAGACACGTCAAGTGACACGACGACGAAGCTGCGACGTCCATTTCCCCGCTAAATCTCGTGGGTAAATTGACGGACCGTGACTTGACGTTCCATGATGTCACATCAATCTCTCTGCTAAATTTATCCCGGAAATTGACGTCATAGCAAAATCATCCTGTCACGTGATGCAATTGCATCACATAGCGTCAATTGTATCGCTTAATTTAGCGAGGAAATTGATGTCACGTAACTTGACATGAGAAGAAAGATGTGACGTCGATTTATGACACCAATGTGTCATAAATATCTCCGCCAAATTTAACGAGCAAATTGACGTCACGCGATTTGAAGCCACGTGACTTGGTTACTTCACTTGACACCAGTTTCACCGCTAAATTTAGCGGAATAATTGAATCTGTCGCTTGGACGCTGCATGTAAGCCAACGTTACTAGAACCACTCAGTTGGGAAACTGCCATAGAGACTGCTTAGAAAAAGTGGCCCTAATCTGTCCACGAGAACCGAGCTAATGGCGAACACAATGCCGCCATTTCTTTCACGGTGGCCACTCGAGGAACCGCACATGACTTCCGTTTTGGCGTTAATCGGCCATTTTGGTGCCGAAACAGATACAGCGGAAGAGGTTACAGGGGTGCCACCCCCGTCTCCCCAGCGGACGCGCCGCGAATGTCTATCGAAGTTAAAATGCACCTAGGTCGGTACGCGCTACCTGAAAGGAACCGGCTGATGCATGGTTGTATAAAAACAATATTAACTGTTCCGCAAAACCTTGCAAACTAAAGATTATAGTAACATCATGCGCCCTTCATTTTGTAATAAAATCCAACAAGTTTCATACAAAAAGAGTATTTTCCGTTTGTTTTTACGCAAAAACATGCTTTCTAAAAGCTCAATGTGACCACAGTACAGACAAATGATAAAGAGTGGCGCTGTAGTCGTATTTAGCTCGGTCTCGGTGGACGCCAGCGGCCCAGGTTTCGACGGCGAGTTTCATAACTGAGTGTTCTAGTAACGTTTATGTAAGCGTAGCATATTTTTTATTTAATGTGACAGAAAAAAAAAACATTCTGTATGAAAGAACCCATGATAGCTTGTTTGCTCGATCACTGAACTATACTACGCTAGATATGGATATAGAATAGGTGGTTCATTTTAAACCCACGAAAAAACTGATTTTACCAGTGCAACATGTTATTTATGACTTCAGGTGACAAATACATTGTTACGCGCGGACGAAGACATTTCGGAGCAAAATGTTTCACTTAATGCCTAACCTAAACGCGTTGCAGTTTTCAGGGCACACAGATTTATTTTACTTACAAATACATTTTAAGCGTGTAACCCAAAATATGCATAAAGTTCGCTGTCAGTGTTGAATATAACAGGTTTATTGAAGTTCAGCAAATTCGCAACACTATTTAGCAAACGTTCATTTAGGTAAATATAAGAGAGAACTGCGAAATATTGCTAGTTTTCGTAAGATATAAAAGTAAAAGTAAGGTAAATAGCTTACAAAATTTACCTGTTGTAGCAGGTATTATGTCGGGGCCTTTCTCTTCCAGGTCCACCGACTCATCTGGATCCTTTTTCAGAAGCGTTAATGACCTGAAAGAAACGTTAATTTGCATACTGGTTATCAGTATTCTGTTCTCACGTTAGCTTTTCAAGACGTGAAAACTGTGTACACCTGATCCACAAGGATCACTGAAAGAAGGGAAGAAAAGGTGCTCAACACGTTGATCTGAAAGATAGATTCTAGTACTTTATTTGCCTTTGCTCATTGGCAATTTTGTTTTTAGAGAAAACCTGAACATCGTTTAAAAACAATTAAAAAGAAGCATCTGCGCTATTATGACAATAATTGTTCAGCTGCGTGTTGAGACTTTTGTGCCACAAGACCAATGCGAGTAAGATCGAACGATAGTGCACACGGATGTGAGATAGCAACTGTCGTAGCTCGTGCAAGAATCAAGGGAATGAATGCAGATCGGGTGTTATATTTGAGAGTGAAGATAATTTCGCTTTGAAGTTACGTCAATACTTGAGTGGTATTTCTGGTAAAACACTGACAAGTTGAGGCACATCATATGTGACTTAATTCTGTTTCAGTTGAAGGATTATCAAGACCTAATATTTCGTTTTGAACAGCACGCATGTTATGCCGATGAGACCGTTTTCTGCGGCATTTGGCAACTTACGTTGTAGCACAAATTTACAATGGAATACTTTGCTATATAAAATATAACTTCAGAAAAGTAATTCTTACTTGTCTTCCATGTTCTCCTTTTGGGAACCTAAAAGCGAAATGTTAAAAAAATAAAAACATTTAGTTGTGAGACTGAATTTTTCTTATCATCTTTCAGAGCATGTAAGTTTTGTTGCACGCATGTATTATTCAAGCCATGGTAGCTCCATGGATATCCACATTCAGTTCTTTCAATCTTTGTGTATACATTCCCTAATGCAAGTAGCACAGGGTATATAAGTCATAGAACCAAATCGAATATGTAAAACAAAACTGTAGAGAAGCCTAAGTGATACAGGATTCCACACCATGTTATAAGGCTATTCTGGTCCCCATACCTTAACACGTTCCGCCAGAAGTTGGATGCTGAAATGCTCATGCCGCAATATGAATTACTTGGGTATTAAAAAAAAAAAAAAGCAGGGGATAAAGATATTTAAAAAGACAATACGTTACATTGTTTGTTTGCGACAATAGTAAATACTATAAAGCGGATTGTAACTAAATATTTACTTTGATACCGATGAATTTTCTTTTATAAACAGCTAACTATTGTGTGCGCAAACAAATTTTATATTTTAGTTTTCATAAGTACTGTAAATAAAAAAAAAACATCCACATATACCTACTTTAAAGCAACCTTTACGTGCTTACCTAAGGTGTAAGGTAATTAGGTAAAAATTTTACATATTAGAACTACAACTAAAAAGAGCAGCAAACATGCCATAGTACACATTAGCTCATGAGTGAGAACTGACTGCTGCTACAGTTAGCGGTTCCTATAGCAAGGTTCAGCATCTTTCCACCTTCCACTGTTGAAATTGTTATGATGAGTTTCATATTACGTTGTAATACTTGTGCTTGTAACGGGTTCGGTGACCTCTGGACATCATAATAGAACAAAAGCGATTTTTAGAACGTTAAAAAGCAGATAAATACGGTAATTATCTCTAAAAAACGAAGCGTTGTTATTGAAAGGTCAAAACACAACAAAAAGAAATAACAAAGAGTAGAAGAAATTTGCCGTTATAATATAAACAAATATAATTTACAATAAAATGATGTTGATACTGTTTTTTGAAACAATGTGTTCAACAAACATCATTTTCACTATAAAAATATGCTTATGGTCAATGGAGAGCTTGACGACAAATAAAATAGTTTTAAAATATCACAAGATATCGACAATAATATATTTATTAACCGACTTGCAACATGATTCCCCTAACAAACGTGTTGCCGTTTCGAAAGATAAGTAACATCAAATAATAAATCCCATAATCACAATCAAACAGTATATGTTTAACTAAAACCGTAAGATTCTCCGAAAGGGAAAGAAAAAAAAACAAGAATGTGGTTTTAATAGTGCTGTAGTTAAGCAGAAAATTGCGATCAAACATAGGTTAGTTGGAGCTGTACACAGCTGTCCGGACGGACTCATTTATTTGCAGAAGAACCTTACCTGCAGTAAGGACATTATAGAAGGTACTTTGTCAGAAAGGGAATTAAAAATACCGTTTGCAAATGTCCGTCTAAAAAGACATATTCTGGTTGCTCACACTGAGCATTCGAAAAATGACAAGTGAGTGGATGATCTAGCTGGAGTTGATAAGATTAAAGGGCCGGGGGTTTAGCCTGGTGTAGAGAATCAACAATTTTATTTTTAATAATTGTATGATAATAAGAATTATGGTTAAGATTAGCTTTCCTTATATTTGACAATGAAACGGTAATATTTCTGTAATATATATTTTCAGGTCATCAAGGCGTTATGACAAATGCGCGCTTTGAAGTCAATAAGTTTAGTATTCGTGGTTGAAAAAAAAAATGCACTGAATACGCAACTGCAGTTTCGCAGTCATAATTCAGATACATATTTTCATCTCAAATATATTTAAGTTCTATGACCCCTTTCTTTGCAAAAGCCGCCAGGCAGTGCTCGAGTCTTTGACGTCCCAGCGGACTTCCGGTTTATAAAAAGAATAAAGAAAGCCCGCCTTCACACAACTGCTTGAGACGACGATGAAACATCTAACCACCAATTCTACAGGAGAACACTAAAAAAATACAGAAGTGCGAGACTTCTTTCATTTTTTTCGAATAGTCATGGAAACGAACTTATCTCCTCCAACACGTTAAATCGTACGGTCGAAATCCCTCGTTAAATCTCCAACTTTTCTGTCTGTGCAGCATGTATGCTTTCAAGCACTGGTGACAAAGCGAGCTCCACAGGTTTGTCAAGTTAAAGCGACCGGATGTCGCTTGGGACCCAAGCAGTGGTTCATGTTGGTAAACACCAAAATGATTTATGTTTAAAGAAAGATCTCGCCCTCGCGTCCGGTGTACTTACCTTTGCTTCGCCCATGTTTTTTGCAGCGGATAAATATGATGACGACGATTGCAGCAATGACCAGTGCAATGACGACGCCAATGAGGACTCCCAGCACTGGTCGGATTACGATCATTCCCTGAACACCTGCTGCAACGGAAAGTGAGAGATTGGAGTAAGAAAGAAAGTCACGGAGTAGAAAAAAGAAACAAAAAAACACAGTCCCCTTTTTTCTCGAAGTTGACAACTAAAAAAAAAAAAACATTTTAAAGCCAAATATTATCCCGTAGTCAGGAAAAGTCGATATTCTGAAATATTGGAAACAGACTTAGACATTTTCGTCATTTGTTGTGGTACCTCCCAGTGTGTAGCACATATAATCTGAGTTTGAGTAAATTGGACATAAGTGTAGCGTTATAAACAGGATACGAGTTCAGCCCTTCTGGCTAAAAGCTGCGCTGTGCTCTCGCAGTTTACAAGTAGAGACAATAAAATTGAAAGAATAAAATAATTAAGGCAACAGAAAAGGAAAACACTTTCAAATATTTGAAGATTTGTGCTCCACTGTCTCCTATACATTGACGTGTTTTATTATTTTCGAAACTACTTCATCTCCACACGCTCTTCGCTTTCTCACAGAGTGTTCTTTTGTTGTTGTTGTTGTTTCGCTTGTCGCTCTTGATGAGAAAGAGCACTGTCCTGACGTACATTCGTGAGATTACCACTGCGTGATCAATGATTTAAACCCAGTGGTAGTACTTGCCTTGTGCCATTTTCTCTCTACAGGGCACTAAAATCTTATAGAGATCTCACCAAGGCACTAGGACAGGCCTCTTTTAAAAGTAGGTATTGCATTAAGATAGAATGGTTCACCATTGTTGTGGGCTCAAGAATGTGAAACCTAGTACACACGAAACTTGCATAAGGATTTTCATTTTTTGAAATTATGTAACCTGTCTGAAGAAAAAAAAAAGGCTGCAGAGTTTCAAAGCACGTCAGGATCACGCAACTGCCAAGGCAACTGAAAAAAATTGACAGCTCGTGCTAATTCGGAGTATAATACCTCAGTGACTGGAAGTTGTCACTAGAGGACGAACATATGTATCTGAATAGCTGTCTAAACTGACATATATGTCTTAGAATTCATACCACCTTTGGCTCGAAATTTCAGAATATTGGAAAGCTGTGTGAACCTTTAAAGCAACAAGAACGTGCAATGTAAAGCAATTTGCACATATTTTGGTAGTTGCAAATGGGCATCTTTGGCATTCTGAATATGTACCTCATGAACGTTAATCACTGGCAAAATTAGTGCCATTTCAGGACGTCATATTTTAAAACGAAATACAGCGAACTTATAGTTTCCACATCCATTTTTCACAACCGCTAGGAAAACTCAAAGTATATTTATAGTTTTCAACTTGATATATTTTTTCCTGCCAAACACTGTTTCGTATTTTACACTTAAAGAGTACTGAAATAGTACTAGTAGCAGACAACCTGATATTGGTAAAACGTTGAGTTTATTTTATTACATCCCCTCTACTTCAGGTATCAGCTATGCTATTTGAATGTATGCCAAGCACACCTTAAAAGAAAATGCAATGGCCTAACTCAGCATTCATGCGTGACTAAAGTTTACACATCCCAGCAACTAGGTTCTACAAATTCATATTTTATGCGTCCTTCTGTGCGCTTTAGAAATTTTATAATCCTGGACTTCAGAAGAAGTGAGCAATTATTTATACCTGAAATATCACCACTTGTTTAAAACATTTAAATTTGTGCATAGCCGGTTCAGAATATCTTTGTGACATTGAAGCCTTGCAGAGTGCGAGAAAAATATTTTAGGAAGCGTGGAGCCCCATGAGCTCCCTCCGAAAGCAAAACATTTGTTTATTGTGGTGGGCCGAGAAAGGGGAAGAGGTAAACAGACCTAAAGTACCTCATATGCTCCGATCGACAGAACTGGACAGAACACGACAAACTCGCCATCTCTTGGCCATTGCGTGAACTTGATGCAGCCAGAACGCCACAGGCATCAAGAAGAGCAGCCTTAGTTCAGGGGATGTCCAAAAGATGGCGCCACTCGCCCTTTCAAACGAGAAGCGCCGTAATACCATCTTCACATTAGAACAGGCAGTACGCTCGCGGACGTTCACTTATGTTCCTAAAATGAGGGTGCTAAAAAGAAGAAAAGCTTTTGATTTAGTTTAATAACTCTTTGAATTGTCGAATTGTATGTTCCGGTGAAGAGCAAGAACTTAGGAAGAATGCCAGGTTTTGTAGCCGAAGAGCATGGTTTGCGATCCCTCTAAGAGATGGCGCCAGTACTCCACGAGCGCCGAAGTATTTCGTGCTTGAATCTATGCCTTTACTTTCGCTTTCCTTCCACGTGTCTCGAGGAGTAAACGCGGGGGGTAAGGGGGGGGGGGGGGGGTTACTGCAAAAAGTACTCTAAAGCTTCTTTTGAAGATATGCGTACACTTTCCCTTCCTAATTGGGACCCGAAGCTCCGACCGCCAATCAATTTTTTTTGGTTGCGCAATCTAGTTGTAGGCACGTGCGATCGAAGTGGCGATGCGGGCGAGTTGCTTCCGAATCACAAAGATCAAGCAGCGCGCAAGACGACGGGGACAAAACGGAAAGAGATATACGGGATATAAGCTGACTTTTAACTAAACATTACAAACAAAAGCACAAGAAGAAGAAAACACGTACCGTGCGAAATCACCACACGTCTTTAAATTGGACGCTAAATAATCAAGAGGACTCCCCTATGAACATGTGACGATATCTTGCGTCTTGATTTCGGAGAATGTACGGGGCTGTTCTTCCAATATATATTCAGTTAGAAGTCAGCGTTTCTTTCCGATCTGTCCACGATTTAGTGCAGTGTTTATAAATTATAAGGCACGAGCACATCCGCCCGTTTAATTTGAGAAATTATCAGTCATAGAAACAAGCCGATATTCTGTCAAACAGGGGTAGATATCATAGGAATCTGAGGTACTGGATAAATTAGAGCCAGTTTGAAATACCACCGATACGAATGTTGGTAACCATAGCAAAGCACATTGAGGTAAACTTTAAAAGATCATCCGACTATATTAATTTTACGTGGACAATATTTTGAATAGGCACAGCAGACACACCCCTAATCCAAAATATTTAGTATATGGTTGCTTCCGCACACAATTTAAATGCAACTATACGAACTAGCGAGAGATGGAAAGTACTTTTGTGCGACCCTAAGAGGTTTTGACGAAGTCTTGTGTTTGACGCTGAGATTGAAGCAAAACGTAATTCTCAAGCTTAAAACAGCCGTTTCGTAAAAAAAAAAAAAATAGAAAAGGTATTAGGGTGGGTATCCTCGGTTTCCTTCAAGCACACAGTCTTCATAGCCTGTGTTATTTACGCGCAAGGTGAAAGTCCTTTCGAGGTATAGTCGTTAGCGTCAATAATTTCATGTCGACTTGCTGATTGGCTTCACTTCCGATTAAAAACGAACATATAAACATGCATGCAATGGTGCAAGTTCCTCCAAACTTAAAATAACTTTAGTTCGTGATGTAGAAAACCCGAGACTGTGGTAAAAGCAGAGAAACTTGGTCGAAGAAGAAAGACAGGGGAAAAGTACGTACTTTTTCCTGTCTTTCTTCTTCGACCAAGTTTCTCCGATTTTACCACAGTCTCGGGTTTTCTACATCATGATCAATACCCACCAGCACTCACTGTTTTTTCAACTTTAGTTCCTGGCATTACCAGGGAAAGCCACTGTGAACCAATATATTAAGCTGAACTATTCTGGCATGTTACGTAAATTAAGATGAAAAAAAGTACTAACACGAGTGTAATATCGACGGCAGCATTCAAATTATTTAAGCTCTAAGACTAATGCACCACCATATCTTTCAAGCACAGGACCTTTCATATCGATCAATTCAAAATTATTAATAGATAAAACCGTTGTTCAAACCTGGACATGCAAGCTCTCGGCTACACTTTGCTGATACCTTTATGCATAAATTTATAAAAAAAAAACTGGCTCAGTGCATATGACCATCGCCCGCAGATAATTTATTGGGCAGTAAATTTCACGACTTCGCGCATAAATATTGCCTACCAAATCTCACAAGTGGTATAAACACCAGCGATATATCCGGAGGAGAAGAGGAAATTTTAAAATATTTGTCTTTCAAAGGAGCTCTTGCTTCAGTCACCAAGGAGGAGGGGAGAGGCATATGTTCTACGATGCAAATAGATATTGCGTTATCCTTCAGCAACGTTTCCTAATACACCGTGCATTACAGTTGTAAAGCTCGGATATGAATTTCAAATAATAAGTGCAGCCAGACTGAACCGTAAAAGATGACGTGAATAATGACACTATGTAAACGCAACCCTCTATATAAAGATATTTGATTGACCCATTCATTTACGTGGCTAAGAAACCGCAACGGGAAGGAACTGCCTCGGCAGATAATCCAACACCTTTCTTCACCATGTGAAAAATATTCTACAGTTATAGAATTATTTTATAGACTTCTAGTAATGCATGCCACAGTTTCCCTTTCCGCTGTCCCAAAATGCACTCATAGCTTGTAGCTACACCAACGTCGCGAATGGTAGCTAATGACCAAGGGAAATACTTTGCTAGAGAATACATCTTACCCACAGAAAAAACAATGGCCTTGAAGCCAACAGATTTTTCGTAGTGGAACGGCTGGACGCGCACAATCCCGGAGTCTTCCTCTTTGAATTGGGAGGGGTAGCTGCCGCCATCTATCGTTGTAGACAGCTTTTGACACAACGGTGACTGCCATCTCTTCTGTCTTGGCGAATCCGGTATATCGGTGCGTCGGAGGCAGCCCCCTTCCTCGGCGGAGCATAATGTCCGAGTACCACTAGTGCGACAAACAAACAAACGACAGCGACAAGCTTCAAACACATGCAGCTTGCATGTTCAAACACATGGTGCGTTCAGCAGACGTTTAGTCGTTCGGTTCTCGGGAAGTAAGCACGAATGATTGCAAGCCTGCCATAGATGCCCTCGCGTGCATGAGGCTCATGTGTGAGGACAGCTGCCTTAACTCCAAAAGCCTGCCAAATCAACAAAATACTCTAGTTTGGTTCTTGTCGCTGTCGTTTGCTTCTGTTTGTCGCTCTAGTGGGACAGGGGAATAGAGCTCGACAGCGTAGAAAGCGTGTCGCTCATGCGTTCTATCGGACGCGGTCTGGAAGACTCGAGTCTTCCAGGCCATACAAGGAACTCTACCTTCCCTTCGTCTCGCGATAGTTTGCAGCAGTGCAAGGGGTGCTCTCCGAAGCTCTCCTCAGGCTCATTTAAGTCCAGATCGTCGATGCGCGGTTTACAGGATACGCCTTTTTCGTTCGCTTTGAACTTTTTCAGGAAACTAGTTTACTATTATTCGTTCACCAATTAGTACTACATTGCCAGCTTAATGTATGCTGCAGTTCACAATGGGTGTTCGGCGTTCTTTTTTTTTCCTTTAAGGTGTCTTATTTCTTTCCTTGCTCGTAGCTTTCTCTGTTTAGTGTCGCTTCCTCTGAATCAAGTTTTATTTTAATTTTAGTTCACGTTTCTAAAGCTCTAGATCCATTCTGACCTTTTTTTTTTTTCTACAAATAGAGTGAAAAAAGATGCAAATATTAAGTGATTCCGAAAATACCGTGAGTGTGTGGGCGAGCTGGTGATAGTTAATCATATTTTGTAATGTCCCCCAACCTGAGGGTAGAAAGTAAGACATTTCATACTCGAAAAAATAAAAAAAGGTTAGTTGCTTGTTTATTTTAATCTTTTCTTACTGGAACTTTTCTGGTCTTCTCTACGCCAGTCTCGTGTACTACACAGGATGATTAAGAGATTACTTCAAGCAAGGTTTTGAATTTCAACTGAGAGTTTCTCCGGGAAAGAAACTGACCATTAAAGTTTGCACACGTCACTTTTTAACCGTTGGGCGTTGTGTGCGTCATGTTTCCCGTCAACCATGTACGAACCGAACCAAGTTTGACCGAGTGGCACGTGCTCACCGGTAAACTTCTCTGCAGGCCTCAGCGTATGGGCCATGAGAATGAATGGGGCGCTACGTCCTTTTCCGTTGGTCGCGTACACCAGGACCCTGAAGCTGGCGCCTCCGGGCAGACCGCGGACGACGAAAGCGGGCGTGCCAGGCAGTGAGCTCAGGTTGGACTTCAGGCTCCCGGACTCGAGGTCGTACACCTCGGCGACGAACACCGGGGAGGACATGCCCCCGTCCCAGGGCCCTTCCACGCACTCTAGGGACATGCCGCTCTCGGTGGCGTTGATCTGGGAGCAGTTGATCACGGAGTCCGGCAGACCTTTTGGGGAAAGAAGAGAAGAAGCAAAGCGATGATTCGTAGAGAGGTTTGTAGTTGAGAAAGTCGGTACATGTTACACGGATAACAGCCAGCGCAAAGGAAAGCACATAGGCTAGGAGAAGGAATACACATATACAGAGCTGACTATCGATTGCACGGTTTCCTTTTGCTCGAACATACAAGTGGAATGAGTGTTTTATTCTAATTCGAGCATATATATATATATTTATATATATATTATTTTTAAATGGGGTGAAAGACGGGTGTCGATTTCACCATGTGTGTTTTCAGGCTCAGCAGACATTAGGGGAGGGGATGATCGTTAGGGTAAGTTGACTAATGAACTTAAACCCGTTAGTTAAATTTGTAATTATTATGTCTTTGGTGGCATATTCCAATTCCAGTATCAACTGGAATTAGTACCAAATGTCAGGCCAATGTCAAGAATTTCGATTTGCAAACAGGTAACATTTTTTAGATAATCATTTATCAATTTTTGTATTTTCTTCGACGGGTAAAAAATTGTGCGCAAAAAAGCGCCGCAATCCCAGACGACAATAATGTATAGAATAGTGGTGTAGTCGTTTCGATCTTGTCTTCACTATCTCGGCAGCATGGCCTTCGTGAGTGCGCGGACGGCAGGAGTGACGACGTAACTTAAACCACTGCGTCACTCTTCTAAGTGTCACTTTGTACAGGGCCTGCGGCGTCTTTATTTTGAGCAATTTATGAACAGCGCGAAGAAAAAGAAAACGTGGAAAATTATTCCATGATAATCAGAAAAAAAATGAAATACATTTTGGCATGATTTTTTATTTTTAATTTGTGTGGCTTTTAACAGCAATTATTGTGCATACTGCAATAGCAACGACTCCGAAAACCAAATTTCAAAAGTTATTAAAAAGATATTGGTTAATTAGCCATCTTAACGCGACAATTATCACCTCACCTAATGTCCACCGAGTCCGCTAAATACGTGGGCAACACGGAACTCGTGCAACGCTCACCTAGTATTTTATTATACATTCCGTTGGAATTTAAATCAAACACCTCATATAATATAAACGTAAACCGATAAAGGAACCGATACTAGAGATATACCATCTTCAAGCTGTTTGTACCGCTCCGCCACACACACAAAAAAGTATCAGATGGATTCTAGGGGATTTAAGGGAGTTAGCCCTAATGGGAAATGTCGGGACCGCGTCGCGTTTCCAAGGGGCTTATTGGTTTCACGCGTAACCGTCTTGTCCACAAATGTAGCCGCAAGGAATTAGGTGGGTGTTTTCCGATAAGTTCGGCCGACCATGCCCGGCCACCATTTTTAATTTTTACGAAAAAGAATATTGTGCGGATTCAATGTCCATGAGAACAAAATCAAAATCTGTTTTGGTGAAAAAAAATTTATCCTTGCGGAAAAACTAAATTAGAAACATGCTCTCAGTGCGAAGCGCGTTCTGCGAATTGCGCGAAGTTAGCAACTGCATCACCTCTCCCAAAAACAAAAACAAAGAAACTTTATGGCTACCGGCCTAGAAATATTTCCTGACAAAATATGTATAAGGCGAATTAGCTCAAAATGATTATCATTAAGTATCGACGTTGTTAATTTCAAGAAAATGCGCAAACATTGCACATCCCTCCAAAACACTTACATTTTTTTTCTCCGAATCTACATATTCCAGTATTTTCAAACTTTGCCAGCATGTTGTCCTGTACCTTGTTAATATTGGTGCTTCATGTGGTTGTCCTGGGCAGCAAAAACAATTACATGAAAAATGCTCAAATGGGGCATTTTAATATCTACGAGATATTTCGAAACTAAAAAAAGGGCCGACTTTGATTTTTTTTTAGCTCTTCCACATTAAGGCAATGATAGGTACTAACAGAATCTGCAAAATCATGTTGCAAAATTTCTTGTGCATTTGAAGTTATAAACCTAGAAATATACCCAAATATGGCTACCGCAGCACCATGAATGGTTCTTGTAGATGTCCATAGATGACAAATTCATTACTTTTACAAAGTGTAAAAGTGCTCGAGGGTTGTCAAAAAGAAACAAATTGACGGTACAGAGGCGGACGGTGGTTTTAAATTAAGAATTCTTAGTGCGTTTTTGTATAAGAATTGAAGAAATTTCGTGCGGTCTGGAGCGAGCGAGAGGCTCTCATGTCGCATGCTTTGCAGGGCCCGTTTTCAATAACCGACATTTAGGATATCTGTGTACGCCACATTAAAACAGACTGGGGAAGTAATCCGTTACAAGAAACGGATTACTTTTAATCTGTTACTTTTCCAAGCACTTTTGTAATTGCCACGTTACTTTTTTCGGAAGGAATTTGTAATGTAATTTCTTCACAAAATATTGGTGACGGATTATTTTAATTATTCGTTACTTTCTAAAAATATGAGCATAGTAGAGTAACTGGACCAATACGCGCAAAACATTCTGCAGCATAAAAAAAGCAAGTTCAACAAAATAAAAAAACACCAAGATGGGGAGAATAGACAAAAAAACACGGTAGTTTTGTATGACCGGTCACTAGAACTACCAGAAAAACGGGCAATGCATGTACCAATATACGAAAGACAAAGATCAAGTAAGACAACTCTGAGTAGGCTCTTCGTCGCCTTCCATCGTGTTTTTCTTCTCCCGGGCAGGAAAAAACTCTTCGTTTTATTTGTTTTTGTCTTTTACAACGTTTCACCCTTTCCAACTTTTTCAACGTCTCCCGCCACCTGCAGACATCAAACGTGGGACCGTACACATTTTCGCGGGTTCACAACTCGCGGAATGGACAATATAGCCTCGCGCTAGGGGGTCGAATTGTCTCTTTCTTTAGTGTGCGCTTATGTATTCTAGCACGCTCTTGAGGCACGGCGGAAAGGCGCCCAGCGCGAGGCTAAGAACATCGTCTTTGAGGGTACGGAAAAGACTTCTTTTGATTTACTTGTCTGGGCATGGTGGTCGAGTCCACTCTTCACTTTACCGTCAACTGCCAACATAAAGGGTGGGGGGGGGGGGGGTGGCAAGGCCAATTAAGGAGTGCTGACAGAGAGAGAGAGATAGAACGCGTAAAAGTGGTGTGATCCTCTATTGTTTTGTGAGGCCGATGGCCACCGCTTTTCTTGCTGTCTAAGACCTCCCCTCCCCTCGCCTCTACGAATATTGGTATGAAAGTGAGAACCGATGCATAATCGATAACCCGTAACCGCCACTTTTTCTCTGTCTGGTCGAATTTTCGGTCATGGAGTGTCCGTCGTCTCCATGGCCATCCCTTAATGAGATGCTAAAAATTCAGGGCATTAAGGAGAACGGAAAACTAGAGTTTCAGTGCATACTTTGCTTGTCATAAAACACACTGACGTCAGCAAGACCAACAAAATCTCTTCTACGAAAACACATCAAGGTAAGCTGGGACACCTGCATTCTGCAATGGCTATAAATTGCTACGTTAGAACCAAGTGGAGTATTTATTTTCTTGTGAGTAAAAGGCGAAACACCCGAGTCGAAAGGAAGGTGATTTTGGTAGATCGCTTCTTGAACTCCGAATCTCGTGGTGGAGGTAGACGCTGCTACTGAGCATGCGCACCGCTAGCTTTGTATGCACCATTCCAGGGATCATTTCCGGAGGCTGTAAGCTAGCGGGATGGCGGGTGTGGTTGCAGCTTTCGGTGCCTTGTCAGCTTACACTTGAACGGAGTGCACCTACACTCTTTCCCTTAATTATAATATTCTATTTTTTTCGAGGACTACCATAATACGGGCGTATGAGAAATGAGAAGTAGTGTTCCGGAACATTTTTAAATAAGAAAATGGTTTCTATTGTTTTCTGAACAAGTGTACAGAAAAATTAACGTGAAAGTAATTTGTAACGTAGCGAGTAAAGCAATCCGTTACTTTTCAGCAACAGTCATTTGTAATGGTAATCCATTAGGCTTGGCAATTTGTAATGGTAATCCATCAGGCTTGGTAATTTGTAATTGTAATCCATTACATTTTTCAAACAACGAGCACAAGCCTGCGTAAAAGGAAGCGACCGGAACGGCTCCGCTTAACACATGTTTATCACAGCTTTTTGCCTGGTGGTAACACGATATGGCGTGGCGAAGCGGCGCCTCCTCACGGCATTGGAGCCGCGGCCGCGGTGTGCCTGTGGAACGCGGCCGGACCTTCTGGCAGGCACCCGTGAGGCGGACGGTAGGCAGAGCGCGCACCACACTAAGCAAAGCACCATTGTATGCGCTTCGCTTAGTGTGATTACAACTGACCATTTTGTTCCCGACGCTTTTGTGTATTTGTTTTTGCTGGAACACATGAAAGGGCGCCTCCCTTCCCTCTAAGAGCTCTTTACAGTGACGGCATTTTGTGTTCGGCGATTTCTTCGTGTTTCGACTGTGAGTGCGTGCTGTAGGCATCGTAATCTAGAAAGAATGGCATAACCCTAAACATAAAGACGTCGATCCACCCTAGCGCACTCCACGTGGCTCGGCGGCGCGCGTTGGTGTAAACAACGGAGCGCGCCGGTCGGGCCCGAGTGTCACGTTTCTCCCCACCGTGCGCAGTCGCCTTCGGAGGGATAATAGGATCTCAGAACCATTTCACACCACGGAGATGAACTGTGTTTATCGTCTTTAGCTTTGAACATGTACTGTAAGGTTCCCGAGGGAGGAACGAGAACGCAGCAACGTCAAGGCAGGGTAGGGTTTTAGATGATATAATTAAAACGATAAGGGAATGAATGTTAGCTCTCGGCTCTACCGGACCGAGCGTTCCCCTGGTCGCGCGGTCCCCTGGTCTCGAGCTCCCGTTTTTATATCCGGTCCATTGACGCACGTCGTGGCTTGCGCAGCCTTCGGTCCCATTGATTGGTAGTGCAGGAGGTGGTGGCGACAGCAATTTGGCTGCAGCCAGTTGTTCAGGATGGAGCGAGTCTTTCAATGGTAGTTGATGAAAAAGAAGTCTCGCGCCGTGGCATGTTTGCGGATGGTAAAGGCGC